TGGAGGGCCGGTGTCCTGCAGACTTTAGCTCCAACCCTAATTAAACACACCTGAACCAGCTAATCAATCTCTTACTAGGCATAGAAACTTCCAGTCAGGTGTGTAGAGGCAAGTTGGAGCTAAACTCTGCAGGACACCGGCCCTCCAGGACCGAGTTTGGACAGCCCTGGTCTAGATGGTTGTGCAATGGTGTTCTGAGTGGTTGCTTACATCAAAAAGCCACACCAAACCTTAGCAAACACCACTAATGCAAAAACATTAGGTTTACATGAGAACAACATGAACAAAAGAACACTAGCATGACTACACAAGCACACTTGATTTTTTTTTTTTTTTAACTCTGGGCTTAATAAGAATCATCTGCTCTTAAACATGTCGTCATACACAGCTGTAATGGCTTGACCTTTCACCCCATGACTAATCTTGTGCTGCTCTGGCAGCCCCAGACCATAAATCACACAGGGCAGTCAGGAGGGCCTTCTAGAAAGTTCACAACAAATTTTCCAGCACCCCCCGCTCCTGCTGGGAGCCATTTCAAAACTCAGCGATCATGGGAAGCGAAGGGTGAGGTCACATCTCAGCACCGCGCTCCTGTCATGAGTGAGTTTACATCAACCCGAAAGAGAGCTTACATAAGAGTGAAAAACCCCACTGCATGCATCTTATCTCTCTTACCACCTGCTTCCTTTGTCATTGTCTTTCTCCATCCATGCATATCTGATTAAAATAACTGATTTGCAGCAAATCTTTAGATCTAATAAAAACCTCTGGCCTCTGCTGGTTTCTGACTCATTTGTCATGATAGAGCAAGAGTTTAAAGAGTAAAAAGTAGTGCTAAAGATTTTTCCAGTTTTTTCCAGATTTTTCTAATTAATTTAAATTTAACTAAACAAATTAAATGAATTGAAGCCATTAGTAGACTAATCACGTTTATATCAGTTTAATTAGTTAAATAATAGGCTTTAATATATAGCCTATTCCATGCTCAAGCGCACACAAAATGCTTGTCGCAAAGCAAAAATGAACTATGATGACTGTGAAAGTTTCAGAAAAATAGCAAGGAGATATTTTAATAATTTATTAATAAACTAGAATTTTCGTGGAGTCAGTGTCGGCTGCAAAGATGAAGTTGACAGTGCTGACTTGCCATTTAATACAGTGGATGCGCCTTTAGAGAAAAATGCAACTTTCATATGGTGAACTTTTCCATGACATTCTAATTTATTGAGATGCACTTGTAATTAGAGAGCATTAGGTTTTTATTTGAATTGGTTCATTTACAAGTAGACATTTCAAGCTTTCTATAGATATATTTCCCATGTCTGTGAGGGAAGTAGCCTATAACACTGAGTTTCCGTTCATTTTTGTGATGCTCTCCAGTTCATGGAGACACATCTTGGTTGTTTTCTTTATTTTACAAAAGCACAACGTTTTGTTGATATTGTGAGCGTACACAAATAAAAGTAGAACCTTTACAGTTTCAAATGATGTATTATTACTCTTATCTGTATGAGCAAAATGACAGCGTTTTTAAAGATGTTTTTGCTGTTATCAGGAGAAAATGCAAGTTGCTGGAGCCTCCAAGTTATACAGTGTGCACTAATAGCTTCCACATGTCACACAAACACTTGGATATGCACCTAATAGAGCACATTTTTCTAGGTTAACATTAGAGCGAGCGGCCATGTAAAGTTGCTACTACTTACATGTTTAAATTACAAATGAAAAGCCATATTTGAGGGTGATGAATGATAGGCGAACATTTGGATTTCCTGCCTGATATACTGTAATTGCCACAAGGATATACATTATAAATTTTTTTTTTGTAAATAACTGACATTTTTGTCGACTAAGCCTCTTCTCGTCGACTATTATGGGGGGCAGCGCTAGTAAAAAGACTAAAAGTTTGCTCTGTTCCTCATGCAAAGCTATTGCATGGGTGCAAAAGACTCAATGCATACATGTTTCAATAATCATTTCTGAATTTGTGTGATTATATGCTTTGATCTTTAGGGTCTCGTTTTTGTTATCAGTGGCTTTTATATGTTCTGAAAGCTGTGAGGGCACAAAATAAAAAATCCTGCTGACAGATATAAAATGCATTTGAAATTGAACAATATGACAGCAGCTAGACATTTTCCCACATGCCCTACAAACTCCTGCTGTTTTCAAAAATATATACTGGATTACATGAGAGCTGCAAACCTCATGGGCAACAGCAATGGGCAACATTTCAAAAATAACTTCTAACACTGACCGAAGTTTTCATTTCACAGACCCTAATAGCATAATAAAAGTCCCAAGGATATTGCAAAACCATTTAAGGCTACTATATGCTACTATATTTAAGCCCCTGTAACCGTTCCAAGAAACACACTTTTTATTTTTGCTGCAATTACTTTCAAAATGTTCCCAAAGACAGTTTTGTAAACAACCCGAATGCTTGAAATGAGGCTTTATATGAGTCTTGGAAGAGTTTCTCGTCCCGGTTTCTAATACTTCCCATATACTGGCAGCTCAAAATGAGATCATTGGAAGTGGCTATTTCCTCCGTCATCTTCTCATTACCTGCCCATACCTGTTTGCAATCTCCTCTAAACCGCAGTGACCTCTCTTCCATCAAAGTTTCTTTGGCTTTGTTGCCTTTCCAACCACTGCACAAATAAATGATCAAGCCAGTGGCGATATTTCAGAATAGCATACTATTATACTATGAATCTAAGATGTACTGCAATGCTTCGGTAATCAAAAAAATATGATAAGATGTTTCGAGATCATGATGTTAGTCAGTCCATCACACTACAGTCCTCATGCACAAACACAAGCAGAGCTGGGTAGATTACTTACAAAGTGTAGTCCGCTACTAATGCCAAATTACATGACAAAAATTGTATTTAGTAATGTAATCCATTACATTACACATTTTAGGTAATATAATCAGACTACTTTTTGATTACTTTTAGATTACTTTTGTAGGGAAGTCCATTTCCGCCACTAAATAAAAAATAAAAAAGGCAATTGTGACTTTTAATCTCACAATTCTGACTTTTTTTCCCGTCACAATTGCGAGATATAAACTCACAATTCTGACTGTTTTGTGTAACAATTCAAAAAAAGTCAGAATTGTGGGATATAACCTCAGAATTGCGAGAAAAAAAAAATCTGAATTGCAAGATTTAACCTCGCAATTCTGAATTTCTCGCAATTGCGAGTTTATATCCCGCAATTCTGAATTAATTGAATTTATTTTTAATTTTTTTATTCAGTGGCAGAAACGGGCTTCCATATTGACCTAACTTGTTTATCACATTGATTTAAATAGGATAATCTTGTAATATATTGATATAAAAATGCAAAGAGAAAGAAAATATATTCCACTCTTTGTTATTAACAACATAAAGTGCAGTCAACATTACGTCAAGGTTTCCCAAACTGGGGTTCGTGAAGGAACTAATAATAATTAGAAAAGTGCTAATAATTAGAAAAGCTAATAATTAATTATATCATAAAAATGTCAAATTAAAATCAATAATTTTAAAATAATTGCGTTTGAAAGACAAAAGCCTTCCAAAGACATAGTAATACATAGTTAAATAACTCATAGTGACAATAAAAAAAAGTTCTACCAGCAGTTGATGCAATGTTGGGATGTTGAGAAAAAAACTAAATATTGAAAATCCAGTAGTCAAATGTGTGCCCTCTCAGTTTTCTGTGCAATTATAGTCAGCTGACTAATGACTGGTCTTTGTGTGAATGTCCACAATACTGGAAACTTTTAGCGGCAGGCTATTTCTGAAAGGAACATTTAAAAGATGATAAAATTATGAATAATTTATTGCTATTGTGTAAATAATATGTAATCATGTAACCAATAAAATGTAACCAATAAATTTTTTACTGTAGTCTGATTACAAGTATTTTACAATGTAGTATAATCTAACTACAAGTACTTCATTTTTGGAATCTGATTACGTAATCCAGGTTACATGTAATCAGTTACTACCCAGCACTGCATACAATTACCATTTTTCTGTTTACTCGTGCAGGGCCAACTGCAGGGCATTCACCAACTATATTTACCTCTTCTGCACTGTGTCGATAAATCTTTGTCTTTCGCTTTAAACTACCAAAAAGCCCCTGGCAGCGCTTCCAAAAGCCTTTACAGGCAGAAGAGTGAGACTCAGCAGGCTGAAGGGGAACGCAAAACAAAATAAAACAGAGAAGGGTGTTTTTAAAGGAAAGAGAAGGAAATGTGAGGAGCCTGAGAGGGATATCAAACACAGAGCAGCATATACAGTAAGTGCAATAGAGTTTGACTGTGTGTGATTATGATGTTTAATCATTCTCACCCTGTGCACAGGTTCGGGCACCGGCACACCACCTTCCCTGCCAGGCGCCTGTACCTGGATTTGTGTGTCTCCAGAGTTACTGAAGCTGAGGATGAGGTTGACGGTGGCTCCTAAAGCTGAGGGACTGGGTTCCTTTAGCACCAGGTACGGTGAATCCGGCCTCTGTAAATGACTGCTGTCATCGCTTCCTTTAGAACTGACACTTTGCATCACCTCATATCCATAACTGTGCTGCAAACCATCCTCCGTGTCACCAGGGGGAGCGCTTGTGAGGCTTTCTGTTGTCTTCTGAGAGACCTCGGGTGAGGTTTCCACCTGAAAAATGGCAGAATTAGAATGCCTTATGAGGAGACCGCATCTTTGGGTCAATCTCATGAAAACTCACCAGGAACTCAAAAGTCACATTTCGTAAACAAAAGATAAATCAAAAAAATTATATTTCGCATAAAGACAAAAACATGTTGTATTTTAGGACTTTAAATTGGTTTGAACTGTGACATTATTTGACAATTAAGCACATTTCCTGCATTCAATTTCTCATTACTATAAAAAAAAAATATATATATATATATATACTGTATATAAAATTACACTCTATATTCTATATTTTATTCTATAATAATAAAATAGTAAAGCTTGTTTGCATTATGATTGTTTCTACATTTAGTAGCATTTGCTTCATTTAATATATGATGATTTAAATAAAAAATGCAATGTAAAATCGAATATCTAATACAAATTATCACTGACAATAAGTGGAATTATAAAAAAAATCGTAAATATTAGGTTTTATTTTCTTTATGTAAAAACATGATTTTTAAAATGTATTATTATATAGTTATTTTGGGTTGATCTCATGAAAACTGTCAAGGATTTCAGGACCATTAAGACTGTTTGCATTGTGACACTTTAATGCAAAAATGCTATATTATTAAATAGTAAAGTATTTAAAAGTATTTAAACATTTAATAGCATTTGATACATTTGGTATAAGCTGATGCAAAAAAAAACGATATTAATAACGTGAAATACTTCTACATTTAGTAGCATTTGCTTCTAAATTTTATCACTAAATTGTATTTATTACTACATTTTATTTTATATATTCTGATGTAAATTGAAAAATTATTGCTAATATTGATTGATTGATACTGATATTATTTAAGACAAATAAGCACATTTCCCATCTTCAAATTAGCTGTAATGGGAAAAAAACTATATTAATAAAACGATAAAGATTGTTTATAGCATTTGAGAATTTGAATCATTGCATTACAGTATTTTACTGCAACAATCATCGAGAATAATTTGAATGATTCTAATTGATTACTTATTATCTATTTATTTATTATTTATTTCATACACACACACACACACTTTTTGATTGATAAACTTAATTTATCCCCAGAAGGGAAATTTACAAATGAATGGTTCTACCTGTGTTTGTGGGCTGCAGGCCATGGCCTCGGAGTAAATAGCGTCTGTTTGAGCTTCTTCAGCCTTCTGTCTGCTCAACAGCTGATCCTTCTGAGCCCTCCAGTGAACCAGGATCCATCCCAGCATGCTCCTCAGCTCCTCCATCCTCTCTCTGATCTGCACAAGACAAAGAGCAATGGAAAAAGACCCCAAACCATTTTAACTTTATTTCATCCAGAAGAAACTTGAGGTTGTTCTTTCATAGGAGACTTAGGGAGAGTGTAGAGTTACAAAATCTATTTGTATATCAGTTGAGCAATGCAACTGAAGCAGATATTAAAGAAAGCTTATATACCATTGTGTTGAGGTGATGCTCGTCATCAAAGAGGTTTTTTCCAGCCACGGCGAGCTGATCAAACTCCTCGAACTTCTGCTCTATCTGCCGATCCAGAACCTCAACCAGAGGCTCCTGGTTCTCTCGGCTTTGACGCAGAGCGCTTTCTGAGAAAATGCAGGAGCGGGTGTCTTCTGTCCAAGAGCTGTTGGAGAGAAGATGAACAGCAGAGAGGTGAAGACAAGCACTTCAGGCCAACACACACAGCTCGAGATGATGCTCACCAGACATTTCTCCAAACACATGAAGAGAACACAATGTGAACAGACATATCCCATCAATAAATCAAACATTAGCTCTGCAAATTATATTCATAGAACATTCCTGGTGAATCACACCAAAGCATGTCCAGCTCACATTTCACCCTAAAATCAAACGAAAGAAGTACCATTATGAGTTTTTGCTTTATGCCACTATTTTCATGACAATTAAGCCCCAAATCTGCATTACTGTAATGCGTCCAGACATTTACATTTGTTTTTGTTCAGTATTTTTATTGTAAAAAAACAACAACAACATTTACTCTTTAGTTTTTTTTGTTCAATAATTAAAATAATTTTTTGTTTAGCATTATTTTAGCATTTTGAGTTTTTTTTCTTAAATCTGTTTGAATGCTATTAAATTCTCATTACTAAACTACAGTATTTTTAAATAAAAAATTAAAATCAATATTTATATATTATATAATTTATATATATTCAAAAAAGAGAGAAAAATATTAAGTATATAATAAGTTTTTAGTATTTATGGTAGCATTTATTCTATTCTTATTTCATTTATGTTGATTTAAAAAAAATACTTGATTTTTTTTATTAAAAAAATTGCATAATTGAAATGTCTAGGCACATTACAATAATACAAATTTTGGAGGAAACTTGCTTAATTGTGATGAATAAAATAAAAAAAATTATATTTATAAATTACCATATATATATATATACACACACACACACACACACACATACATACATACATATATAAAATAGCATATATATATTTATTTTATTATTATTTAACAATTTGTATTATATATATAGTAATATTTTTGTTTTTATTTTTAATTATTTTCTATTTTCTATTTATTATTAATGTGCATCAACACAATAATAAAAAATTAGGTAGAATTGTTTATGTTTATCATATATATCATGAAAATATCACAATGCAGAAAAGTCTGATGGTCTTAAAAACCGTTCTTTTTTATGTAAACTATGCATATTAATTATCATCCCTGTCTATTGGTTTTGGGGTGAATTATGACCTGTATGCGTTCTTCTTATGTATCTTTAACAAAATGTGAAATAAAACAAGGTCTCATTTAATCGTTTTATCACTGACTTACATCATTGCCAGGTAGTTCCTAAAGAAATGGCGCAGGTGTCCAAACTGCAGGAGTCTCTTCTTGTTTTCGGCCACACTTTTGCCGAGCTCGTCCCAGGCGTTCAGGCTGGTCTGAATCTCAGTCCCTACAGCGTTCATCCTCTCCGGACACACGTCTGACAAACAGCTCGCCAGACTCGCCATGGCCTCCACCTCCTCCTTCAAGACCCCGTATTCAGCCTAGAGGAAAAAACACATCTAGGTTTAAGTTCACAATTTCATACTACCATCCTACAAGTGCTATTTTTGCAGCATAAACCCCAGTTGTGCAAACTCTTATGGCTTCACACTTTCAGTGCTTTAAATCTGTTAAAGGAACCATATGCTTCACATATGCATCGCTGGCATAGTTTCTGAAGCTAATTAAAAACGTTAATAAGAATCAAGCCGCTGTGTTTCAGATCTGCGGCTGCAAAACAGAGATTGTCAGATGCTTTGTGCATGAGCGTCAAACTATTTTAGTATGAGCCATTAGGTCATTTCTTGGGCTTTGGGGTTTCCAGACAGATGTGTTCGCGTTTTGCACGCCATCGAGGTATTTTTGCATCGCAATGCACCCAACCCAATGTTGCAGTCTCAAATGAATCAACCGACACATACAGATACACATCATAAACGCCAAAGACTCGCACACAATGGAGTCCTGTGTGGATAATAAAGGCACGTGTGGGCTCACTTCATTAACATCTATTGAACAAAACAAGGGTCTGGCTGAGCCTCAGTGGATGTCCAGCTTCAACCACAACAGGAAACAGATTCTAGAAACAATTTGCTAAAACAAATTCATCACAAGAGATGGGAGAAAGGCATTTCCATTAGATCAACACCAGGAGTTCACTGAGTCCCGGCAAACAAGATGCTTCCTGTTCTCAGAGCGCGTTCGCTGGTAAATGCTTCGAACATGTTATTGTGTTGCGAAAACACTTGGTTGCTATCTGGATTTGCTTTAAAAATAAAATAAAATTTAAAAAAAATATATATAAATATATACAAAAGGTAACGGTAACATTTTCAATACAAATCTGAATGAATAAAATCAGCTATGTGTTTAGTTTTTTTGTTTTTTTGCAATACTACTACTACTACTAATTGTTTAGCAAAATATTTTACTTGTCCTAAAAATAAGGTAAAATGTGAGTCAGGTTTTGTAAGATTCACCCTAAACTCTTGCAACATTTTTCTCTGGTAGTCCTGCAGTACCGTTCAGTGCGCCCATACCTCCAGCTGGTCCTGGTACTCCTGCAGGTCATCCAGACCACAGCGATCCGGCTCACATCTCACAGCCATCTCACTTTCAATCTCCAGCACATCTACGGCGAGCTCCGCACAGCGCTGCAGACACTGCTCCACGTGCGCTGACACCATGGCATGCTGGGAAACAAGGAGAAGACGAATAGTACAGAGAATAGGGACCACTTAGGCCCAATCCCATTTCTACCCATTACCCCTACACCTCCGTTTCGCACGTTCACGTTCACATGAATGGGTAGGGGTGTCTCGATTCTCTTTTGCTTGGAGGCGTAGGGCAGTGGTGTAGTGGAGGGTATACGCAGGTATACAGTGTAAACCCACTTCTTTATCAGTCGGCTTTGCGTATACCCACTTCGAAATCCCGTCTGATGCACCTCATTCAGTAGAGTACTGCATTAGCCAAATCATGACAGTCCACCACATGGGTAGCTAAATCAAATCGCATGTGAATAAATGTAAATATTCCCGAAACACACCCAGTAAAGACAGTGATGCGGTCAGGACGTGCTTCAACTACTACTTTGAATGGAGACGTCAGCCAAAGTGAGCACTAATAACAGGACCAGTGCTCCAAATGACCATTGCTCCGGTACTTAGAGTCAAAGCATCAGTATCTGGGTAATTAGAAATGATCCTATAAAAATCACACGCCGTGAATTACCTCTCATCGTGCAAAAAAAATGCAAGCGCAGTTGGTCTGGGGCGTGAGAGTATGTCAGGGGAGGCGTGCAGAGTGGTAAAATAATATTTAATTATTGATTATTAATTTGAATTAGTACATTAGAACGGAAAAAACCTTAAAATGAAAAGAAGCAGGTTTTTGCGATCAGATATTTTTTAAACCGGTAAACTTTTCAGTCCAAGGATCCAGTAAACGAATGATTTCAAACAGTAAGTTCAAAACAGCTCTACAGAGAAAACCTGACTGATTTCATCAGAGATAAATGAAAGTATCAGAAGATAGAAATCAAACATATGAGTAGAGCTGCACAATTCTGGATACATTTATCGCAATTTTTTTTTTTTGGTATCAAATAGAGATCATGATTCTCTTACGATTCTGAACAGATAGCTAAACAAAACAGCTTGTAATTTACACGAGGTTCTGACAAAATGTTAATTGCTGCAGTCTGGAATTTTTTTACATTTGAATTATTTACTGCAAAATCTGCACCTCTTCTGTGGCTAATATTAATTTCATAATGATCCTTACTCTGTGAAGTCAAGTAGCAGAAGTTAAGTGATGTGCAAATACTACTTGCCCATTTTGGGGTGAACTAAATACGTAAGACTAGTCTTACATGTCACTGTTTATAACGCAGGCCATTAAAAAAATGGGGGCATAAATTAAGAGTATACCTAATTCTTCAGGCACCACTACACCAGTGTCATAGAGGGAAGGGGCCAGATAGCCCTTCAAATGAAGATTTTTCAGGACCACACTTCAAACGAAGGGGTATGAGCATAAACCGGCTACAGCGGCAACATAGCTGCACGAGCGAACAAAAAGTATTCATTAGCATTAATAAAGATTTGAATGAAAAGTAACCATTTGTTTTATGTTACATTCAATCGTGCGTTCATATTTACGGTCCTGCTATTCAAAGAAATGTTTGCAAAAAAATCGCTAAAGTTTGCTAACGTTAAATCATTACTGACTGCACGATAGTGCTACAACATATGTCTGATCAGGACGTTAACCACCATAGACATTGACGGGGGCTAGTCCCCCGAGAGAGGGAGAGAGGGAGAGAGAGAGAGAGAGAGAGAGAAGGAGGGAGGGAGAGATGAAAGTTGCATGTACATGTGTCTATGCGTCTTTCTGTACAATGAGTGAGTTTCCTTCAAAAACAGCGATTTTATCGTCTCGTTGCTGGAAAATATAATGTAGTGATTCAGTATTTAAACTACGTTATTAATAAAAGTCGTGGGGCAGCATTGACAAGTTTCTTTGCTCCTGGATGTGGAGCTGCACAATCTCTGATATGTGTGTGTGTGTGTGTCAGTAAGCAGCGCATTACTATAGAATGGTAATATAGAATGGCTCTAATGCACACCAGTATAGATGTGTGTATTGTAGGAGCTAGACGACGCTCCACCACGCTCACGGACTCGGGGTCTCCAGCCAGAGATGTCTGCCTGATGGACAGCTCCACCGCCTCCAACCACGCCTCCAGACTGGCCAGAGACTGCAGCATCCGCACCACCTGCCAATCACAGCCAAACAACTCGCAATTATCAATTAAACACAGCTGCTGTGGACGGTCTGTTCTCTGCAATGCACAAATCACAAATACACTCAGGCAGAGCAGACTTTACTTTTTATCCCACACTGCATTATGAGATATAATATTCCATGCAGGGTGACTGACTGTATACTGAACAATTCACAAACTGCATGCATTCGGCAAAAATATGGTTATTTTGCATTTGAAATCACATTTTGTGTAGAATATCTAATCCAATGAAATAGTCAGCCAAAAACATAAAAAATACTTTTTTAAATTTTTTGCGCTTTTTATGTTACTTTCATTTTTTTTTTACCTGTGTTATTTGTATTATGTGTATTCAACTTACAACTTTTGCAGTGACATTATTTTTAAGATAATTAAGCACATTTTCCATAAAAAAATCACTGTAATGCAGCAACATTTCATTATTATTATTTTTTGCATTCCCCATTACATTTTCAAGACTGTCAATATTGAATGCAAAACAAAACAATAAATTGCGATATTTTTAATTTATATTTTATTATGTAATTAGCATAAATTAAATGTGTAATTTGGACACACACACACACATCACTTTTTTTTACATACATTTTCTTCATGCAAAATACACTGTGCAGTGTCTACTAATTATGTGAAACAGTATGCAAAATGCAATGATAAATATTTCAAACAGTAAATAATCTGCTACATTTTTGTTACATAACCTTGTTACGTTGCATGTTTAAATCCATCTTATAAAGTAGTACTGTTTTTGCATTTTTATTCCAGTTTTGTGTCATTTTTTTGTCAGTAAAAAAAGAAAAAAAAGTCAAATCATGATAGATAGCATTTCTTGCTCATCACACTGGAAATGTATTCTCAATTTTGCACGCACTGCATTATGAGATGCAGTACTCCACAGTGCGCTCTAGTTGTATACTGTACATTTTGGCAAATGTAGTTGTGTGGGCATTTCTTGGCATAATAAATGGCGTATGATGACGCGTAACAGTATAGTAGTGGTGTCCCAATTCTTAGGGGAATATTTTCACCCCTCCCCCTTGACGCTCTGTTTCAAGGGACAAGGGGAAGGGGTATAAAATAGAATTTGGATTGGGCTTTACATATCAAATCTTGCTTGCCAGGTCTACCTCAACACAAACAAAAGTTAATGGGACGTAATTCATTTCTGACTCTACACACCCTGGTGAGGAGCTCCTGGATGCTCTGGTCATGTGACTGCGAGCGGCCCCTCTCCCGCGCCGTGTCATTGAGCATCTCCACTGCTTCTCTGAGCTCCTTCACAGGGTTCCCAATGGCTTGCATCAGGGGCTCGTCATGTCTGCTCACCGGCAAGCCCAGAAGAGACGGTCCAGAGTCAAGCTCACTGCACAGCGGCTGGAGGAACACAGTACACAATATCTGATTGGTCGATCCTGCCATTCTGATCAAATATTTGTGTATAGTAGTGAGAATACTTGGTATAATTAACTGTTTTTTTCCAACACAGCTGTGCTAGTTTGATGCCTCATATCACTCCATAATCTCTTCTGTCTCATACAAGAAAATCATTCAAACGCAAATCAAAATATCGTGTCAACTTATTTGTTTGTTCGGAGTTGTGGCAAGTTCATTGCACCTCTTCAATTATTTTCAATGTCATTATAAAAAAAATCTGAATTGTTCTGGCTATAAGTAGAAAAACTCTGAAAACTTAAAATTGGGTAGAATTGACAAATTATGACAACTTGACTGACGGATTGATTCCAACAGTTTGACATTAACATGTTGCTAAACTATCAACATGCTACTCTAATAATTATAATACAAAGCACAAACAAACAGATACACACACACAACTATATTTATTGATTTGATTTGATTTATTCTAAACTTCAGTTTTAAACTGAACTAAGTATATTTTAATAATACAATAAAATGTAACTTAATTATTAATGATTACTGATTATATTATTACATTTATATTAAATATTATTATTATTAAATTAATATTGTTTTTATAATTAGATTAGTATCGTATAATATAAAAAGTTCATAATATTTTTATAAATATAAATTTTATATTAAATTAATTACATTATAATTACATTAAATTATATAATATTAAGTAATAAAAATAATTTGATATACATATACAGTATATATAAATTGATACAAGTATGATTAATGCAAATCCAATAGATATTTATTTATTAAATAATATTTAACAATCAAGTCTTATTTATAATTATAATAATTTATAAATAAGATATTTATTATTAATAACAATAATAATAATAAATTATTACAATTATTAACAAATGGATGGAACCAGAGATGATGCTAAGACAATAATTTTTTACAATACAGTTCATGGAGTGTTGTTCAACTCTGGATTCGAACCAGCAACCTTTCTAATTATCACTAAACTACACCATCTTTCTATGGCACACTTTATCTCCAATGTCTATGTAAGCATGCTGCCATTATCAATGCTAGAAAAGAGTTCCTGTAGTTCTGTAGTTCATTCCTGTAGTTAAAATGCATTGCCAAGGTCATGGGTTCGATTCCCAGCGAATGAAACAAAATGAAAACCTTCAATGAAATGTAAATTGCTTTGTATAAATGAATCTGGCAAATGCATGAATGTAAATGAACCATAAAAACACAACCCGTAGCTAACCTGTCCCAGGGTGCTGTAGTGACTTTCCTCGAGCTCCAGCTTCTCCAGGAACTCCGTGAGCATCCGCGTGTCCTTCAGCTCTGAGCTCTGCTGGGTCAGCGCCATCTGCACACTGCTGAACCTGAAAGAACACCAACGCTCATACATCCAAACACCGCAGCATAAACGTCTATCCGTATCGAACCGGCAGCACATACTTCATTTCCACGTCCTTCAGGCGTGCAGGAAGCAGCGGAGTGTGAAGATGTCTTTGACTGCTCAGATGATCTACTTCCTGTCTGAGGTTCTGCAGCTCCAGACGTCTGGCCTCCAGCTCCTGCTCCAGCTGGCAGCTCTCTTGCTCCACCACGCTCACGGACTCGGGGTCTCCAGCCAGAGATGTCTGCCTGATGGACAGCTCCACCGCCTCCAACCACGCCTCCAGACTGGCCAGAGACTGCAGCATCCGCACCACCTGCCAATCACAGCCAAACAACTCGCAATTATCAATTAAACACAGCTGCTGTGGACGGTCTGTTCTCTGCAATGCACAAATCACAAATACACTCAGGCAGAGCAGACTTTACTTTTTATCCCACACTGCATTATGAGATATAATATTCCATGCAGGGTGACTGACTGTATACTGAACAATTCACAAACTGCATGCATTCGGCAAAAATATGGTTATTTTGCATTTGAAATCACATTTTGTGTAGAATATCTAATCCAATGAAATAGTCAGCCAAAAACATAAAAAATACTTTTTTAAATTTTTTGCGCTTTTTATGTTACTTTCATTTTTTTTTTACCTGTGTTATTTGTATTATGTGTATTCAACTTACAACTTTTGCATTGACATTATTTTTAAGATAATTAAGCACATTTTCCATAAAAAAATCACTGTAATGCAGCAACATTTCATTATTATTATTTTTTGCATTCCCCATTACATTTTCAAGACTGTCAATATTGAATGCAAAACAAAACAATAAATTGCGATATTTTTAATTTATATTTTATTATGTAATTAGCATAAATTAAATGTGTAATTTGGACACACACACACACATCACTTTTTTTTACATACATTTTCTTCATGCAAAATACACTGTGCAGTGTCTACTAATTATGTGAAACAGTATGCAACCTGTAGTTAAAATGCATTGCCAAGGTCATGGGTTCGATTCCCAGCGAATGAAACAAAATGAAAACCTTCAATGAAATGTAAATTGCTTTGTATAAATGAATCTGGCAAATGCATGAATGTAAATGAACCATAAAAACACAACCCGTAGCTAACCTGTCCCAGGGTGCTGTAGTGACTTTCCTCGAGCTCCAGCTTCTCCAGGAACTCCGTGAGCATCCGCGTGTCCTTCAGCTCTGAGCTCTGCTGGGTCAGCGCCATCTGCACACTGCTGAACCTGAAAGAACACCAACGCTCATACATCCAAACACCGCAGCATAAACGTCTATCCGTATCGAACCGGCAGCACATACTTCATTTCCACGTCCTTCAGGCGTGCAGGAAGCAGCGGAGTGTGAAGATGTCTTTGACTGCTCAGATGATCTACTTCCTGTCTGAGGTTCTGCAGCTCCAGACGTCTGGCCTCCAGCTCCTGCTCCAGCTGGCAGCTCTCTTGCTCCACCACGCTCACGGACTCGGGGTCTCCAGCCAGAGATGTCTGCCTGATGGACAGCTCCACCGCCTCCAACCACGCCTCCAGACTGGCCAGAGACTGCAGCATCCGCACCACCTGCCAATCACAGCCAAACAACTCGCAATTATCAATTAAACACAGCTGCTGTGGACGGTCTGTTCTCTGCAATGCACAAATCACAAATACACTCAGGCAGAGCAGACTTTACTTTTTATCCCACACTGCATTATGAGATATAATATTCCATGCAGGGTGACTGACTGTATACTGAACAATTCACAAACTGCATGCATTCGGCAAAAATATGGTTATTTTGCATTTGAAATCACATTTTGTGTAGAATATCTAATCCAATGAAATAGTCAGCCAAAAACATAAAAAATACTTTTTTAAATTTTTTGCGCTTTTTATGTTACTTTCATTTTTTTTTTACCTGTGTTATTTGTATTATGTGTATTCAACTTACAACTTTTGCATTGACATTATTTTTAAGATAATTAAGCACATTTTCCATAAAAAAATCACTGTAATGCAGCAACATTTCATTATTATTATTTTTTGCATTCCCCATTACATTTTCAAGACTGTCAATATTGAATGCAAAACAAAACAATAAATTGCGATATTTTTAATTTATATTTTATTATGTAATTAGCATAAATTAAATGTGTAATTTGGACACACACACACATCACTTTTTTTTACATACATTTTCTTCATGCAAAATACACTGTGCAGTGTCTACTAATTATGTGAAACAGTATGCAAAATGCAATGATAAATATTTCAAACAGTAAATAATCTGCTACATTTTTGTTACATAACCTTGTTACGTTGCATGTTTAAATCCATCTTATAAAGTAGTACTGTTTTTGCATTTTTATTCCAGTTTTGTGTCATTTTTTTGTCAGTAAAAAAAGAAAAAAAAGTCAAATCATGATAGATAACATTTCTTGCTCATCACACTGGAAATGTATTCTCAATTTTGCACGCACTGCATTATGAGATGCAGTACTCCACAGTGCGCTCTAGTTGTATACTGTACATTTTGGCAAATGTAGTTGTGTGGGCATTTCTTGGCATAATAAATGGAATATTTTGCTCAGTATACATACTGCATACTATTTTCTTTAAACAACAGAAGGCATGCCATTCCAAACATTCAGGGAAACACGAGATATATGTACCCTATAGTTGAGCTCCTCTGAGATCTTCAGGACCAGACCGTTCCTCTCATGCCTTCTCTTCAGCTCGTCCCACAGAACCTCCAGCTGACTCAGAAACTCCTGGATCTTGATGCTGCCCGGATGCTGAGCCCTCACCAGACTGTAACCCTCCTAGATGGAAACAAGAGGTTTGAATTAACATTTTTACATTAAAAAAACAATTATGCAAACATAATTTACATTTGTTAATTAAATAATATTCATATTATTTTAAAAGTCTGATTTCTAATTAATATTAATAATATTAAACTAAGTATAATTTTAGTAATTGTAATTGTCATTATGATTAAGGGCTAATATTCATTTTGTATTAAATATGATACTGATATTCATTTTTATCATATTTATCAGTATAATATAAATATACATTTTATAGTATTGCTATACGTTTTGTAAAATGCAATAAAATCAAGCTAGTGTTAGTTTTTTTTGTAGTTTTTTTTTAAGAAAACAAGCAGTTAGTCAATGAATAGAGTGCAAGTCTAAAAGGGGCAATTTTTTTTTTTTAAGAATAGAATTAGAATAGAGAGTTCTAGAGTCAGAGGGTCAAATAAAGATGGAAGAGATGTGTTTTTAGCCGATTCTTGAAGATGGCTAAGGACTCGGATTGAGTTGGATATACACATATATATTGGATTGAGTTTATATATACACATATGCATGCATATATATACTCGCAGAGGTGTTAAGAAATGAAGATCATTCTATTTTGGCTATATAGGGGTGCTCAATGTCTGATTTCACATAGAAGTTAATATACAGCTTATTATGATAATGCTGTAAATAAGAATATGAAAAGAAAGAAGCTTTTAATAAATATTTTTAACGTGCGTGAATAAATCCAACCACCCCTGTGACAGATTTAAGTTTCACTTTCCGTAATCTTTGACCGACTGAGGAGCGGCAGGGATTACTCAAATTTACACAGGCAGAGTGAAAGACTGGATTTTTTCTATCAGGTAGGGTACAAAATTTCAAATCATTTCAGCCATTCCTAATTAAATTTTTGGATTCTGTGAACATAGGCGCCAAAAAAGCTGAGATATTAGGCCTATCTATTCACTATCATACAGATCTGGCAAATCAATGTATATTTGTGTGCTCTGCAGGAAATCAAAAGGTTTATTTTTGTCCAGTGCAGGCTCACGATTCCTCTTTTATTATAACAAAACTTCATGAGATCGCACGATGAAGTAAGACGAGGGACAGCTTCACATATTTAAGCGATCGCATGGAGTTTGATGTGGCAGTAGGCTATGCTTCAAAGTCTGACAAATTTCCTCCGTGAAAATCTCTATACAGTCAGAGTAAACATACACACAGGCTTCATCGAATTCTTCTAGCATCTGTTGATTTCATCTCATGTCTGGATTATTTGGTTTTATTTAGTGCAATCTTCAGTTTCATCAGCTCTGAAGTAAAAACAACATGATATGCTGCCGGCCAATGTTCGCTATCTATTAATCAAAACATAAAACATTATTTACCCCGTTTGCGTCTGTGAGGTGCCCGTTACACAGTTTCGCTCTGTGTTACCATCAGTATTTATGACTGTCAAATGTTTGACTACTTGACTCTTGTATTTTTCCCCCGCTTCCAAACATATGATTCGACTATCAGTTTTACGAGGTGCGTAAGAAATGAGTTCAACACATACGAGATTTCAGGACGAAAACATGACAAATGTCTTGAAATAACAATGTCTTGATGTGTGGTTGTGACTCCAGACCGTTAAAATGATTAGAGAAATAATGCACTCCAGAAGTGGTAATGTGGCCACGACTCCGGAGCCTATTAATGGAACGGTCTTTCTCCATTCTCAAACAAATTAAGACATTCGATTTTTATTGATTGAATGCAAGCAATTATTGTGATAGACAACACTGTAACCACGAAAACATGACAAATGTCTTGAAATAACAATGTCTTGATGTGTGGTTGTGACTCCAGACCGTTAAAATGATTAGAGAAATAATGCACTCCAGAAGTGGTAATGTGGCCACGACTCCGGAGCCTATTAATGGAACGGTCTTTCTCCATTCTCAAACAAATTAAGACATTCGATTTTTATTGACTGAACGCAAGCAATTATTGTGATAGACAACACTGTAACCGTTTCCTCTGATTACGAAATATTTTTGTTTGATGGGGTATTTGCAACGGAAGGTTTATCTTGAAATAAATCATCTGAACAATATCTTGAGGTGTGGTTGTGACACCAGGTCGTTAAAATTATTAGAGATAATAATAAATTTTTATTGACTGATTGCAAGTGCTTATTGCGATAGAAAACACTGTAACGGTTTCCACTGATTACTAAATATTTTTGTTTATTGGGGTGGTAATATTATATAGGCCTATTAATAAGGAAGGGGGGCCCAAAATTTATGATAAGAGGTAAATCCGGCCCTGATTAGATCCATGCATTACAGTAGGTCTTAATATAGATCTGTCTCAATGTTGATCAAACTTTAAAAGAAAAGACTAAATCACTCGCTGCATTTGATTAAACTACTGTTTATATGCATCTTTGTTCTGATTTTTAAGAACAAAGATCAAATTAAAATAGCTATATTGTGATTAATAATATAGTAATTATTATTATTAAGAAAAGAATTGGAGGAAAATATGCAACGTTGCTAGGTGATTTTGTTTTGGAATCTTCCGAAAACTTTAACTCGATTTTTTTCTCTGAATCAGATCTGCTGACTCTATCGCATTCAAACGCCTTCATTTTTCGTCTGATTCCAACAAATCATATATCATTTTGAAGGTAATTTATTGGAGAATGTGAAAACAAAAATAACGCATTTTTGAAAATGTGCTCATTCCGACTCATTTTGCCAGCACGGGTCACAAATCGTAATCGTACACATTTTCATTGCTTCAATTTAATTATGATTAAAACTAGAAAATTGTAATAATTAAAAACACACAAAAAAATTTGAGGATTTATTCTCTCAATAAAATGTGGCATGCAGTAAGGAATCACTGCAATATACTTCTACTTGTTGGAAAAAGTAGCTTAATTTAATTTTTTTTACACAACAACGTTATAAGTCATGTTTAATTTCCAAAAAGTGCATTACCAATAGACAAATGTTAGTGTACGACGAGGTATCTATGCACACTTGTTGTGTAAAGCCAGTGAACCTCCCAGCGCTAACACGCTCTGACAGCAGTGCTCACCTTCTTGACCAGCTCTATCCTGGCTCTGTTGGACAGGATATCCTGTTCCAGTGAGGCCTGACGCCTCTTGGCTGCTTCAAAACCGTTCGTTCCGGCCAAACTGCAGATCTGAGTGGCCATCGCAACGCTGTCTTTGAGCCAGGAGAGAGTCTGTGGAGAATACAAAGAGAGCATGAACACAGCGGCTCTGTTCCAAACACCTAGAGACTCCCCTACATAGACAGCAGTCTACTCCACATGAACTGCACTAGAGATGCACCTTTGACTCATTCCTATAGTTAGACATCAGCTAACAACACAACACTCTAATGATCATAATACACAGCACACACAAATGTGAAATATGAAAATAAGTGATTAATGATACTTAAGTTATTGAATTCTAAAAATATTAATTCTAAACCAAGTTTATTAAGTTTTAGTATATAATAATAATATTAAACTAAGTATAACTTTATAGTAATATAGCAATAATTTGATAATTATATTTCTTTTAATAATATTTATCAGTATAATAACATTTTATAATATTGCTATTTCAAATCAAAATTCAATTATGTATAAATACATACTAGTTAATATACATATAATTTCTGAAAATAAAATTGATGGAAATATAATTTATATTTATTCATTACATAATATTCATATTGTTTTAAAAGTCAGATTTTTAATTCCTACTAACACATTTACACAAAGTATAATTAAAAAAAAAAGTAATTCTCATTACGGTTAATGTAATTATTGAATTTGATAAATGGTATACATTTTTATATTTATCAGTATAATATACATTTATAATATTGCCATTTTTAAAGGAATTAGGATATATTAGTGAATATAAACAATTTATATAAAAATTCATGCAAATTAAATTAAAAATAATATTTTAAGTCTGATTTCAAATTAATAATAAACAAAGTATAATTTTAATATTTGTTATTTATTATTATTATTGATCACTACTAATTTATAATATTTAGTTATTATAAAATTAGATAATTACAGTAATTTTATAACATTTATCAGTATAAAAAAATTTATTATATATATTATATGTACAAAAAATATATATAAATAATATATATATATATATATATATATATATATATATATATATATATATATATATATATATATATATATATATATATATAATGTATTAATTATTATTCTTTTTAAAGTCTGATTAATAACTAATTTTATTAATTGTCACAAGCGCACCTACTATGCCTATTCTGCCTAAATGCTTTCTATACAGCTCACTAGGTTTTAGAACAGAACCGAGGCGTCACATTCAATGAAAAAACAGGAAGACATTTCTATCAGAAAGAGATGAGAGATCCTTATTCAGACCTGGCTGACCTCTGAACCGCTGGCTGCTGGCGGCGTTTTCAAGCCAGAACAATTCCTGGAAGTCACATACACTAGCAGATCCTCAAGCAATTAGCAAAGACCCATCGATCAACCTCTCATGAGTTTATTCCAGAGGAATCCGAACTCTCAGCTGAACCGCAGTGAAGAGCTCCTCTGTTCTGCTCTGACTGGACTCAGCGGGTCTTTTCGCAGCATAAGCGATTGTGTAACTCTTGTGTAATGGTGAAGTAATAAATAGGCACCTTGTCTGCAGAAACGGTGAACTTCTGGAGTTGCGTGTGGAGCAGTGTGTGGCCGCTGGACTCGGGCCTCGGCACGTTCCCGCTGTAAAGCCAAACACAGGACCTCTATTTAGCATGCATCTTTAATTTGCATGTGTGCAAAATTTTTTCCGATGTAAAAAATGTCACCTTTCAGCGGCCGTGTGGAGTTTGAGGGCTGCCATCTCTCCTGCATCCCGGCTGTCTGAGGGCTTCCCGCAGCGCTCGGCGTCTCTCCCGGCCTGCGGAGGGAAACACAAGCTGCGTGTTCATCCAGCAGACTACGCCTACAACAGACCCTTGTCTGCTTGTTTAAAACACGGTGGTCCTCCGTGATGCTGATGAGGTTGGCTGGTAAGCCGGGTCTGAATATCAATCAGCGTGCGGACAGTGTGGATGTAATCCCAGAAAGAAAGCCAATTACCTTTTCTGGAAAGTTACAGTGAGCAGTGCTGTTAAACAGGCTCCAGCGTCACATGAGGAAGCCAACATGGGAAAATAATTATTCTGTATAATCGCCATCATGTCTCGAGTAGGTCATTGCTTTTTGTTGCGCATTACATCAGCTATGAACAACATGATACTCTGATAATCATAACAATATACAGCACGCACAAGTATTGGGGAAAATAACCAACATGTTTTATTAGAGTAACTATTTTTATTGATGCTAGGTTATTAAATAAACAACATTTATCTGTGTGTGTGTGTTCTCAGACTCTCCTAATTAATTATTAATATCTTCTAACATACCAGTCAAAAGTTTTTGAACAGTAAGATTTTTATTGTTTTTAAAGAAGTCTCTTCTGCTCACCAAGCCTGCATTTATTTGATCCAAAGTACAGCAAAAACAGTAACATTTTGAAATAATTTTACTATTTAAAATAACTCTTTTCTATTTGGAAATATTGTAAAATGCAATTCATTCCTGTGATTTCAAAGCTATATTTTTAGCATCATTACTCCAGTCACGTGATCCTTCAGAAATCATTCTAATATTCTGATTTGCTGCTCAAAAATCATTTATTATTATGTTGAAAACAGCGGAGTAGAATTTTTTTCAGGTTTCATGATGGATAGAAAGTTCAGAAGAACAGCATTTATCTGAAATAGAAATCTTTTGTAACATTATAAATGTCTTTATCATCACTTTTGATCAATTTAAAGCATCCTTGCTAAATACAAGTATTAATTTCTATAATTTCTTTCAAAAAAAAAAAGAAGGAAATAAATCATACTGACTCCAAGCTTTTGAATGGTATAGTGTATAATGTTACAAAAGCTTTTTATTTCAGATAAATGCTGATCTTTGGATCTTTCTGTTCATCAAAGAATCCTGAAAAAAAATCCTCAACTGTATATTGATAATCAGCAAATCAGCATATTAGAATGATTTCTGAAGGATCGTGTGACACTGAAGACTGGAGGAATGATGCTGAAAATACAGCTTTGATCACGGGAATAAATTACATTTTAAAATATATTCCAATAGAAAAT